CTCCATGGGCACAACAACTGCCTCAGCCTGCCCCCGGCACCGCTCCCTTGTAACTGGCAGTGGCTGGTGAGGGAGCGCAGGGCGGAACTGCAGGGGGCAGCTGCCTGGTGCCCAGGGCAGGCAGAGACACTCAGGGGAGGTGCACGGGGGCGGCAGGCAGGACCAGGAGATGCTCTGGGGGAGGTGCGCAGGGGTGCAGGCGGGGTCAGGGGAGAGACCCGCCCCCGAACATTGGTGGAGCCGGGCTCCCACAGGCCCATATAACTCGCCGCCCCGGTGGTGAGCTGGCTGTCACTACAGCACCTTCCCTCCATTCATGTCTTCTGATATAATAACATCGAATCCCAAGTTGGAGAATAACCTAGATATTGTTACTTGAATATACACACAGGTGAAACATGTTTTGATGTTGCAAGATCATTAAGGGTGGCATGAGCCAGAGAATTATCATGATATGGGCTTTTGAAAAGTAAATAAGGATCCTCCCACTCCTGAGTGAGGCCTTTGCCAGCACTTTGCCTTGAATTGTGTTGGTGTGTCAATTCTAGAGAAAGTTCAAGGGGTTCCTATTTGGAGCAGCTTCTAAGGGCCTGTTCCTGCTTCTGTTCTTGTAATTGTCGAAATTCCCGTTGGTCACAAGTGGAAAACAGGAGCGGGAGCAGGTAAAATCATTCCCAGAGGAACCTCATGAATCCACGCTCAAAAACACAATGAATCAAACCTCCTTGGGGGCAGTGACATGTTGTCTTCTATATTTGCCCTGTGCCTAACAAAGTGCGGCCTGATCCTGAGTAGAACCTACGGACACTACCACAGTGGAAACAATTATAGCGCAAAAGAAAGTTCCTGCTGTGCATCATAAAGAAACACATTGATTTAATTCAAAATTAATAAAGAATTCCTTGTGATCTAGATCTAAAATAACTGTCATTTCACTGTATTGTCATTTGTGGTACATTGCAATGAAAACACACACAGTGACATAACATGCCCCGTTTGATATTGCAATACAGTTTGTGCTTAGTCCTGTATTGCTGTTAATTCTTTAAGAAAACTGACATATTGAATAAAAATATGCATTTTTAAATTGCTGTGCACTGTGGAAAAAGAACTGGTGAACTGCTGGCTAAGGGAGGCAAAGGTTTTCACGTCACGCAACTCTGGTACCAACTGCTCAGGTTCAAATCTGGCACCAACTGCTAGTTGATTAGTGGCTTATGTGGAATAAGTTGATAGTCTGAGTGCTGATTCCAGCAGATTTTGTGCTGATTTGATTTAGACAACTAAATAACAGTCTTAGCACAGAGGTAAAAGACTCAGGGCAAAATCCAAATAGGCTGACCAGATGTCCCAATTTTATAGGGACAGTCCCGATATTTGGGGCTTTGTCTTATATAGGTGCCTATTACCCTCCCATCCCCTGTCCTGATTTTTCACACTGGCTGTCTGGTCACCCTAGATCCAAAGCCCACAGAAAGTAAGGAAAGACTCCCACTGATTCACAAGTCTTTAGATCACCAAAATGAACACAAGGACTAGAGGAGAGCCCTAGGTTAAGTTAGTTGATCCTTGCGGGGAAATATATAGTTCTCAATGACTTTTCTTGTTCTGTGGGTAGAGGCTGTAGGTCAGTCAGTTGGGCAAGCAATACATTTACTCAAAAAAATAAATAAGCTATGAAGCTTTACATCTATAGAGCTTTATTTTTGCTTTTCAGTGATGTGCAGCAAGTATTTGGAGATATCAGATAGAAAGCTATAAATATCTTTCTAACTACCGACTTGTCTGGCAGGCTGATAAATGTCTATTTGCTAAGGTTTAAAGTACATCTGACATAAACAAAAATTGTGCTGTCACTTGAGGTCTTTGTTGTGGTTTCATTCAAAATGTCATTTTTTCAAGACCTGTAGTAAAATCCTATAAATGCTGGCAGAACAATGGAACAGTTGGGTTTTATTTTTTCCATCACTGCATGTTTTGTTCAAATAACAGTAACAAAGAAAAATATAACTTACTTGGAGAGCTGAATATTTATTGGCCAAACAATCATATCACAATAGCCTAGGAATAATTTGAATAACCCTGTTGAGAGAAAAGGAGTACTTGTGGCACCTTAGAGACTAACAAATTTATTTGAGCATAAACTTTCGTGAGCTACAGCTCACTTCATTGGATCCGATGAAGTGAGCTGTAGCTCGTGAAAGCTTATGCTCAAATAAATTTGTTAGTCTCTAAGGTGCCACAAATACTCCTTTTCTTTTGAGTATATAGACTAACATGGCTGCTACTCTGAAACTGTTGAGAGAGAATGATTTGTCTTTCTTTTATCATAGAGTGAGTGGAGCAGTTGTAAGGGCTAGATTCTCTTCTTAGACAATTTTTTCATGCTTTCTTGCCATCTAATCCAGGGCAGAAGTTGGGCCTAACACTATAAATTGTGCCATATAGACACAACCAGATGTAGGGAGTGGTGCAGAAATGACACTGCTCTATGGAAAGCAACTGTACCTCAAAGGCACCATGCTTCCCAGGGCCCCATAGATGTTCTGGGGTGTGTGTCTGAAATTTGGGACACACCTTTTTGTGCAGCATACCTTTCCATATGCAGCCACACAGCTCTGCTGGCTAGTGCATCAGGGAGGAGAAAAGGGAGCCCTGGTTCTGCCTGCTTCTTCCCTTCTGCACGTTTCCAGAGAAAAGATTATGAGGTGCAACACCCAGGCAGGGGATCTGATTCTGGGGAGGGGTTACATGGATGCGAGAAGCTGGTCAATTCTTATTTCCCCCAGTCCAGTTCTAGATTTCAAACACCAGTTCAAGAGTCATCAGATCTGCTGCCCAGTAGAAAAATAGACTTTTGCAAAATTCAGGCCTATTAGCAGGATTAGATTTCAAACATCCTCCAAAGTTTAAGGGTGTTTAAATCTGGAGTCTTGGTTCAGGTCCAGTTTCCAGGAAACATTTTTCTTCTAGAATAGGGTGTTTACCATTATTGCTATTTCTTGTTGGTTGTTTATACAGGACCGAAAGTGTACATGGCACTTTAGAGCGGCAGAGGCGGTAAGGTACCTGCCCAGATAAGTTTGCCGTCTTACTCAGATGGATACAATGCAGGAAATGTTTTACTTGGAGTACTTACGAGTTCTCGTTCTATTAGAAAATGACTGGGAGATTATGCGGATGTAAATGCTGCTTATTTTGCTGTTCTGAATAAGTTCATTAGTAGTATTAACTATTATTGTATAATAAATACCTCACACGCATTTTTGTGTCTTGAAGGAATCTAAGGGACAAGCCCCTGCCCTATGTGGATTTGCTAGTGGGAACAGCACTTAGCTGTAGAGAGGGGGAGTCAGTTCTCCTGCATGCTACAGGTAGATCTACAGGTCAGTATTTTAATGTTGGATAGGGGTGTGACTTTTTTAATAACATTTTTATACACTAGTAAAAGCCCTAGTGTAGACATAGTTATACCAGCAAAAGCTTTTGCTGGTATAGCTTAGTTCGGTCAGGGAACTGGTGAACTCTACTGATAGAATCACACTTTTGCCAGTATAAGCTGTATCCCACTAGAAGGGTTTGCCAGTATAGCTGTCCCTGTATGGCTACAACGGCAAACCTTGTCTAGCACAGACTAGACATTTTCTAGTGGAACGTTTTTCATCTTCACTAATGCTGGTTTGTTGAAATCAAAATGTCCTGGGTGACCATGCCAATTCTGACAAAATTCAGGAATAAGCCAGGCAGGTTTCCAGTGTATCCCTGCCTGCCAGGCTGATTTCAAAACCTGCCTTGTTTCCTTTTAGCTCACCTGCCTGGCTTCTCAGCAGCCTGACTGGAATGGGGAGCCTGGAAGCCTGCGAGCCCTGGTTTATGGCTCTTTGGCAGCCTTGTTTCCTTTTAGCTCACCTGCCTGGCTTCTCAGCAGCCTGACTGGAATGGGGAGCCTGGAAGCCTGCGAGCCCTGGTTTATGGCTCTTTAGAAGACTAGGCTCCCAGGTCTTTCAAGGTCCCCAGCTTCAGAGTAGTCTGGCAGGTCGGCTCCTAAGGCTCCCAGCTCCTCAGCAGCCCAGAAGCCCTGGGAGCTCCCTCTCCCAGATGCCTCAAGCGATGGGTTGTCAGGGCTCTGGGCAGCTTGGGAAGCCATAGAAAGGTTGAAATGAAATGTGTTGACTTCTGGGACCTGCTAAATTTAGACCTGCAGCCTGAGCCCTGTGAGCCTAAGTCAACTGATCCAGGCTCTGAGACTTGGTTTTTCTATGCAGCGTCAACATACCCTTAGTCACAAACCTGACCCACCAGTCTTCGTTTCACGCACAGGACAGAGTTCCTGCCTAGCCTAGGTCATCCTGTCCTGCCCTTGTGGGCTAGTTTCTGCTAGTGCCCATCTGGCACTCGTCCATTTGATCCCCCAGCTTGGAGGGGATCCTACAAGTAAAGGAAGGCTTAGTGTGTTCTTCTTTTATGTCTTTTTGCAGTTCTGTTTAAAGACAGTGTTGCTCTTTGTCTGTTGAAGATCAAGTGCCACTGACAGTGCATATAAGGCAAATGGTAGGTGTTAATAAAAATAAATAAATAAATAAAAGCTACCACAAAGTTCTGTTATTGTGCTCTCACCAATTTTAGATCGATGAATTCAGTGGAGACTTGTTTTCAATCAATACTAAAAATAATAGGGAAAGAAAAATAGAACAAGTGCATAAGTGTAAGAAAACAAGCCAAGCAAACATGCCAGTTATTTACCATTATATATATATCTAAAAAGTTTGGGAGTGAATTCTGGATCACAAACAGCTGCCAATAAAAAAATAAAAGTTGAAGTGCTCTACAAGCGTGAGCCACTAGGTGGTGGTAAAAACCCAAGCCTTCAGTAATGAAATGTTTGGGAAGAGAAGTTGGAGGCAAAGAAGGGGGTAGAGGAGGAGTCAGATATTGAGCACTGAAGTCATTAACTCTCTGAGACTATATAAGGACAGTTGCAGGGTAAGTAGTTTATACCTGGGCAGCCTTGGCTCTATGAATTTGAACATTCTTTTTTCATTTAGCCCTTGAGGATGGACAGGCAGGAGAGCTGAAACTTGTGACAGCTAGAGGGAAAGAATACAGGATATGAGGAGAAATAGGATCTGAAGGAACAGTCCTGGTAAATAAGTACAACTGCTTCTTAATTGTATAGGAAATGTTACCTTTTAAAATGGAGAGTAGTTTATCTTAAAAACCTTTGAATTTTATTTGCACTGACTGACAGCAAGCTAAATATGTTCTGCTTATTAGGAATTTTATTGCTTATGACATTCTTCTCAAAATATTCTCATTAGTAGGAAAAAAAGCCTTGATTAAAATACCCATAATTTGAATAGAATACCTGTGGCTTTCCTGAGAGAAATTCGCTGTGATTTTAGTGGGCAAGTTAAAATATTTAAATCTTAATTACAAGAGAATAAAACAATGTGAAACCTGAAATATATAGATTTGTCTTTTTTAATGGTTTAAAACAGTATTATTAAGCTGAGCATGTTAGTCTGGAGCAGATAAGCTGTTTATATCACAAGTTATGCAAATTTAAGAAGTACAAAGGTCAGGAAAAATATTTAAATCTTTTGCTTAAAAGGCTCAGTCATTAATTCTTTCAGGAATTCAAATTTTATCTAAGTATGATCAGATGAGAGGATACAGTCTGATCTCAGTTATGAATAGTGCATTCATATGGGTTTTAAGGCTGCCAGGATTGAGACACCTGTCAGATACTATTTGTTGTTCTGTAGGAATTTAGCTGAAAATGTTCAGTGTACACCAGAATTTCCAGATAAAATGTGCTAGCTTCAGGGAAAGACAATCAACACTGGAGAACGAGCAGAAGTCTGAGGAGAAAGAAAAAAGAAGGGGAATAAATCTGTCTATTAGTTTGTGATTTGAATTTCCCTCTGGAAGAATAGCTGGAAAAGCTCTGTGAATCTATGACAGGTTAACTTAGAATAAATATAGAATATGGAGCAGTCGTGGGCTGGATATACTGAGTTAAATAGAAATATTTTATTCCATTTGATATTTGCTTTGTCAATTCCTTCCTGTTTTTGTCTTGTTGTTATATTTTTTTTGGCAGGGATTCTTGCCTTTCTGGAAAATGCATTTACCACCCTGCTTTACAAGTCCTTTGGAAAGAAGAGAGCATATTTGCCTCCAGAGATGAACTCATCCTATCAGCTACAAATTCCAGAACTTAACTTGAGTACTTTTGGCAGCAACTTTACGGTGCCTACTGTCAAGAACAAGTCGTCACCATGTGAGCAAGTGGTCATAGCAGTGGAGGTGTTTCTAATCCTGGGCATTATAAGCCTCCTTGAAAATATCTTGGTCATCTGTGCAATAGTTAAGAACAAGAACTTGCACTCACCTATGTATTTCTTTGTGTGCAGTTTAGCAGTAGCTGACATGCTGGTCAGTGTTTCTAACGCTTGGGAGACCATAACGATATATTTAATAAACAATAAGCATCTAATTATTGAAGATGCTTTTGTACAACATATAGATAATGTTTTTGATTCAATGATCTGCATATCTGTGGTGGCTTCCATGTGCAGTTTGCTGGCTATAGCAGTAGACAGGTATGTCACAATTTTCTACGCCCTGCGTTATCACAACATCATGACAGTGAAAAGATCAGGGCTCATCATTGCATGCATATGGACATTTTGCACTGGCTGTGGCATTATCTTCATTCTTTATTATGAATCAACTTACGTTATCATTTGTCTCATCACAATGTTTTTCACCATGCTATTCCTCATGGTCTCTCTGTACATACATATGTTCCTCCTGGCTCGTACTCATGTCAAGAGAATAGCTGCTTTGCCTGGATACAATTCTGTCCATCAAAGGACCAGCATGAAGGGGGCCATCACTCTGACCATGCTACTAGGCATCTTTATTGTTTGTTGGGCTCCATTTTTTCTCCACCTCATCCTGATGATTTCTTGCCCTCAGAACCTCTACTGTGTTTGCTTTATGTCTCACTTCAACATGTACCTCATCCTTATCATGTGTAACTCAGTGATTGATCCCTTGATCTACGCCTTTCGTAGCCAGGAAATGCGGAAGACCTTCAAAGAGATTATTTGTTGCTATAGCCTGAGAACGGCCTGTGGGTTGCCGAGCAAGTATTAGGAAAATGCATTTTTGAATGCGGAAACCAAGATGCAACATTACTATTTATCAGGAAAATCATGCATCAAAATTGTTAGCATCTTCTTTCCCCTATTTCTGCTGAAGGACTATAAAATGTCTTTCCACCTTATACTTGTAATGAGGATCATATTTTTATGGAAATTAGAAAGCTGTTTTTCTAGTTTTACGTTATTTGGTCTATTTTCCCCTCTATACACACCCATAACTCTAACTGGCATTAATAGGAGTTAGCATATGCATGTGAATCAAGAGAATAATAGAACACTTGGGGCCAGATTCAAGCCAGGTATCTTATAAAAGTAACAGTAATTTCATCCTTCCCCCCCTTTGATTTTTACGGGCAGGGTACATGAATATGTACATGTGGGTAGGATATCCCTATTTGCCTCACTGCCAAATGCAGTAAGCATTAACTAACACACAACCAATAGTTGGGTTTCTAGTTACATTTTCTTTGGGTACAACATAGAATCATAGAATCATAGAATATAAGGGTTGGAAGGGACCCCAGAAGGTCATCTAGTCCAACCCCCTGCTCGAAGCAGGACCAATTCCCAGTTAAATCATCCCAGCCAGGGCTTTGTCAAGCCTGACCTTAAAAACATGGCTCATTGTGGCTGTCCGGTGCGAGAATGGACAGGTTTCCGGTCAATTTCTCCATTGACATAAAACCAGAAGAATAACTGTGATTAGCATGAAGTGAAAAATATAATCTGTAAACTTCAGCATTCATATGCCTCAATCAACACAATTATGAACAAGAATTTATATATGTAGATACACACACACATTTTTGTATCCCAATCATGATTGTTGCATTCACAAAATACATACTGCACAAGAGGTCAATGTAATTGCAACATTTCCCAGTATTGAGCATAGTATTTTGTGGCACTTGTCTGTATTTGTTCCAGTGTTCCTATTACTGTATGTCTCGGCAAAGGTGTACCACATGCTGGTTTTAAGGCTGCAGTGGTTCATCTTAAAGGCAGCGCGGATATCATTTTTTCTGGGCCCTGAAATGAGTACAGCATCTTTGGCTTCAAGGTAGACAAAGGTAACCCATGTAACATTTTATGGAGGGGGTTTGGCCAATGAGCATGTCATACGCAGCAGGAAGATTGTCAGGTGTGGGTGGCTTTGGGGCACTTATTATTGAAGAAATTACAGCGTATATCTTTCACGATGGATATTACACAAAGCAGGGATGGTTGTCAAGGCATGGTGCGGGTAGGCTGTCAGCAAAAGATGGCTCCCAGGAACATGGGAGAATGTGCAACATGTTTATATAGGACTAAGCCAGCATCTGATATGCTTTTCTCTTTACCGAGAGGCTGCCGTTTTCATAAAATACATCAACCCTCTTATATTTTGTATGAGCAATTTGCATCCTGTTGTGTTCTCTCCAATATTGTCTTTTGTAACAGTTATGTAATGTGAAGAATATTGGATTTGGTCACGGAGGAAGAAAGTACAATCAATTAGCCACAAAATATTCTAATTTCTCTTCCAAGGAATGATACAGATGTCTACAGAATGTCCTCCCAAATGCTGGATTTTTGCATTTAGATATAAAATATATAAAAACTCATAGAGAAAACAGTTTCATACTGATTACACATCTGAAATGCAAGTTAGCTCACAAGAGTAAATTATTCCTTTCCAAAGTCAAGAGGTTACTCTTGTTAAATTGTCTCCAGTGAACCTGTTTCAAGGCCCATTAAAGCCAGAGGAAAGACTCCCATTATCCCAACTGGTTTTAGATTAGGTCCTTAGATCGTAGCATATTGTAGAAAAAAATCTCGGATGTTTTATTATAAATGTCAATTTTTTTCTCCAAACTCAGCACCTTATGCAGAGCTAACCTCAAAAACACAGAAATCCAGAGATCCGCACTGTTAGGAGGACAGCTGAATATCTTCATGCCTACATTTTCAATGTGGAGGTTTGTGGTATTATGATAGGCTATTATCAGCCTTCCTGACTTGTACCTTTTTCTTGCTCTGCAGTGGAGATTGGATGGTAAAGCTTTGGACTTGTGTTTGGAAAGTAGACAAGTTTACAAAATGAGGGCCATATACTGCCCTTGATCTGCATTCTCAGCTCCCATTTACGTGAATGGGCATTTCACTCACAGTTGAGAGACCTGAGTACAGAATTTTAGTATACCAATTGTATTAGGAACCCACCAATACTTGAGGGGCCAGATTATTCCCTCAGTTACACCTGAGAATGGGATTTTACATTGGCAGAATTTTGCTTTAAGGTGAAGTTCACTCCAGTGCAGAGTTCACCACTTAAATCCCACTTTAAGTAGCATGGATAGCCACTCTGCACTGTGGTGAATTTCACTCTAGCTAGGGTGAAAATGAGACAGTACCCTTAATTTCCAGCAACATAATTAAAGGCACAACATGTCTTCAAATCACTATGTAAATAAACCATGAAATCCTCATTAGGTAATTCAGTTTGAAGATATATATGTGTATATGTATATGAGGTCATATTGTAAATAATTGTAAATCAGTAAATAGGAAACCAATACTGTAAAAGCTTTGGATATTTTCTTGAATTGTACATTACCTCATATTTTTTTTTTGCTCTGGAATTTTATTTGATGTAAAAAGATAAGTATCTGAGGTAATTATTAAAGTGGACGGTTGGGAAACCCATTTGTTGTTGAATATTCATTGTAATGTAGTCTCTAGAGTTTATTTGGAAAATTGTCGGTATTTTTGGGGTGTTACTTCAAGTGGTAAATTGCAAACAGAATTCCTGGGGAAGGGAATATTACAAGCCAGGATTTCATGTTTCAGTTTAAACTGGTATTTAGTGATGAAAGCCTTATAAAAGAAGTTACGGACTAACAAGAGATATTTAAATGTATTTATTTGCTCCTGCAGCTGACATCATCTTCTTTACCCATCATTGTCAGCTTTACATGGGGAAGGGGGAGCTCTGGCATGACACTGGTTGCATAGGGTGGAAACTGCTCCCATCCGTATGGAAAAATATGCCACAATAGTGGCCCTGATTCCCTGTTCTGTCACACCAGTTTCAGTGGAATCATGCCAGTGTAACTAGTATAACAGAGTGGCAAATTAGGCCCAGTGTTTATTGGTCATCGTGATTCACACTATTAAAACTAATGCTAAATAAATGAATACATAGATACCACCATACATACGCCTCATATTCAACAACTGAATGAAAACAAATGTACTATGTTTTTGTTTTTACTAGAATCTGATGAGGAAAAAAAGTGGGTATTCTGATTGTTTCTGGCAGTCGTCATTATTGAGTTTTAATTAAAAGTAGGAACCTTCATGCCAGTAGCCTCAAGAGAAAACCACAAGAAAATTAGCCACTGGGTTCTGCTCTTAGCAGCCCACCAATCCATGATACCACCCTTGCTCATGCTGTCATACAGTTGTGTTTCAACAGAGGGTCTGTCCACCAGGAAGGCACATGCATAATGACTCTGTAATAGAGCTGAATGTTAACCAAGAAAAACAGCCCTACCTTTGAAGGGCATATTTGATCACTAGTTCTTTGCCAATCCATTAAAAGGCCACTTCATTTTTGACCTGGTGGTGGTAAGATCTCAAAAAGTTATCCTCTGATGTTTAATTTATTTTTCCTCTAACCTTAAACACAACAGGTATGACCACTATTATTTGCTGTATTGAATGTTTCCCTTTTCCCCATGTCAAAAAACAAGAAAGAACAAGAAGGGAAAACTTGTTTTGTTCTGTGTGGACACCAGTAGTGTTCTATTATGAGTCATTACTATACATCTCATTTATTCTGCATTCATACCTATTGAAAGTAGATGCAACTTCCATAGGAGTCACAGGGGCAACTGATGTAAAGGGATAGTGTCAGTTACACATCCAGTCAAAGGCGGTCAGAAGGAACTAGGAGAGTGTTAGAAAACTGAGTCACAGAGCTGCACCATAACTCTGCCCAGCAAAGCTGAGTTTTGGAACCCTTGATCCATAGGGCTGCTGGAGGATGGTTCCCCCCCCGTATAACATAAAGCAGCCCCATGGCTGCTGTAAGTTCTGTTGGCTGCAGTGGACTCCAAGAGGCGTGTTGTTGTTGGCATTCCAGTAGTGTGTCTGGGCATTCCAGCCATGACCCCCATCATGCTCCCTGTGCTGTCTCTATGGTACTTGAAGATTTCCCTATGCCCTACACACCATGGTTGGTCTCATTGACTTGAAGGAGGTACCAACATGAGTAAGGCATGCACAGTTAGGCCCCAAGTCAGACATTGTCTGTCAGATACAGAAATCCGTCTATCTGCTCATTTAGCATTACCAAACTCTTCTCACTAATAGAGCTGAGTGAATAATTGATTTTTCAGTTCAGTGGCTGAAACAAAAAAGAATAAAATAAAAAAATCAGCTACTTTCAAACTGAAACTGATTTTTTTTCCTCTCACCAAAATGAAAAACTAAAAACCAATTCCCTTTGGGTCAAACGAAACTTTTGGTTCCACCTGAAACTAATTTTTTTTGTTTCATTTTATTATGTTTTCAGGTGTTCTTTACTCCTTACATTATTTTAAACAATTAACAAAATGAAAAGTCAAAACATTTTGTTTTGAAAAATGAAAAACAAACTTTTGACTGTATTTTTTCCCCCATTTTTTATTCAGCCAACACTATTAGCCAAATTCCACTCCAATTCACAAGTAGTTTTGGTTGCCCTGAAACTGCATTGTTCAGTGAATTTACTATTTGACTGAAAAATTTTGCCCATCTCTACCACCGGTGACAGTACAGGTACACCCTCAACTGGACTTTCATACCAAGTTTAAATTGATTCTGTAGTGACTCTCTGGAAGGGGAATGTCAGAGGGTGACGCTGGCCTTTTATGAGGGAAGAGGCCAGTGACTGGTCAGTTGACCTCCTTTTAGGCTTCAAAGAGGGCAGCTGGTCCCCAGAGGGGGTGGTCCCTAAATGGGAGACAAGAAGCAGCAGCAGAAACTTGCTCTGGGAGAAACCTGAAGAGAACAGAAAGCTCTGCATGTCCTCCCTGGAAAGAGGGAGAAATTTCCAGGAAGCCAGCAGAGGGAGAAGCATGCTGACCTTTCTGAGCCTGAGAAGGCTGGAGAGGGCTGAGAGCAGCGAGGGAGAGGGCTGATAGCTCTCTGAGCCAGAGTGCTGATGGAGGGCCAGAGAGGGCTAAAGGCTGGGCTGAGAGGTTGGAGCTCCAGAGAGCCTGAGCGTGGTGCGAGATGCTGGGGCTGTACATTGATGAACTATTGAGGGTTTTCTTTGTGATTCACAGGGAGCACAGGTGCCAACTTTTGTTGGTGCCGGTGGGTGCTCGCGCCCCCCCAGCCCTGCCCAGACTCTGTCCCCTCCCTGCCCCTATTGGACCCCCTCCCCAAATCCCCATTCCAGCCCTGCCTCTTCCCCGAGCGTGCCGTGTTCCTCCTCCCCCTTCCCTCCCAGTGCTTGCTGCGTGAAACAGCTGTTTTGCGGCGCAAGCACTAGGAGGGAGGGGGGAGAAGCAGGACGCGGCGGCACACTTAGGGGAGGAGGCGGAGGTGGAACAGAGGCAGAGGTGAGCTGAGGTGGGGGGGGGCAGGCCGGGGAGCTGCTGGTGGGTGCAGAGCTCCCCATGGGAGTCAGTGCCTATGACAGGGAGGGTTGCCAGGTTTGGTTGGACATATTCCTGGAGGTTTCATCACATGACATGATCTTTCATTAAAGATTAATCTTTAATTCCTGGCAACTCCAGGACAATCCTGGCTACCCTATACAGGATTGGTAGTAAAGGGCTTATTTGGACTATTTCTGGGAACCACTGAAGGGCAAATTGAGGCAAGCACATAGGTTGTGGACTGGTGTGGCTGCTGCAGGAGGGCACTCTAGGTGGGAGCTTGCCCTATAACAGGGAGGAAAACATGAAAAATTAGAACAAAACAATGGAAAATTTAGACTCTCAGGATTTGTAAAATGCTACAGCTTGCCTCCCTGAGAGCTTTCAGAGGTGCAAACTATAGCTGGTGAACCATTTAAGTCTGAATAATTGCATGAAGTTATCATGTTCTAGTGAATTTAAGGAGTAATTAATAAATGTGTAATAGAAATTTGATTTATAAACATGTTTAGATAATGGATGGATTTACAGGTATTCAGTGTTGCCCAAGTTCAGTCCTTAGGACCAGATTTCACAGTTAGATTCACATTGACACAGAAGCTTGATCTATGGGGAAGACTGGCCTTTAGGTGTTAAACCCATTGTGGCAGGAACAATGTCTTTTTTCTATGGCATATATTATAGAGTGCCCAGCACACTTATTGTACCCAGTAAATAATTAGTCTAGCCATGTCATTTTAAGTAAATCACTGGGACTATATTGAGAGTGAATTGAAAATGTGTGCCGTTTAATGAAAAGGGGTTTGTGAAGGAAGTTCACGTCAGGACTATCTCACCTGAGACAAGACTGGCATACAGACAGGCCGAGAACCAAAGACCCAGTGGACAACCTAATGAAGGAAATAGGAAATGCAATATTAGTCCCATCAAGCCTTCATACTGTGAACCTTTGGATGGGAAAGCAAGGAATAGGAAGAACACAGTGTTTATAGTCAATGACATGTTGCTGAAAATGTCAGTTTGAAAATAATGTTGATAACAAGGAACTGAATAGAATAACGAAAGGTGAAATAGTCAGACAGGAAAAGGAAAGGAAAGGAGAGAACCTGGAAATACAGATATTATAAAATGATAAAGGATAAATAAATAAATAATATTCAATTAAATGTTAAAGAATGAGACGTGTTAGTGCTGGAGGAAAATCAGATTTGAAGGGTGTACAGTACATAGAAAATCAAAGAGAATTTATATAATTCCTAAACAGTATTACTTATTGACTGATATCTTACCACAGCCCTGAGAAGAAAACCCTGAAATTGATATAGAATCAGACCCAGAACCACACCTTTAACTAGATAGGTATATTAATAGAGCAATATTCTATCTAAAAACCTTCCACTGATTTCGGTGGGTTTTGGATTAGGCCCTAATAGTATTTCCGTTATATACTGCATAACGCTATAGTGCCACAAATGATGGCAAAAGGTTTAGTAGAGATTATGTATCTAATTCCATATAATTTTGTCGTATTTAACTATGACTTAATTTCCCCCCAAAGTTACCCAATTGCTAATTGAGATCGAACCACAGCTAACATTTAAATTCAACCATATTTTAGTTTTGTGCCAAAAAAAAAATCTGAATTCAATTTTCTTTTTGAAAGTGTCACATTTCAGGGGCATGTACTCCCCTGTTTGTCCAGGGCACTCTTGTCAAGTGACAGGCCTGTCTCTACCTGCACTTCTCCGATAGTGGAACTAGTTAGGTTGGATCACCAGGCTACATCACTCCTCGTTCCCACAGTCCCATCATGCTAACAGGGTGAGTGATGCCTGAGACCCCTTTGCAGTCCCTCTTGAATGTACCACTCAGGTGACAGGTTCCGCTTCTTCACTGCTCTCCGGGTGGAACTCTGTGGTTCTACCAGTCTCACAACGGATCCCAGGGTAGCAGCCTACCTGTTTCCAACCATGTTAACACAACAGGCCCACCTGTATTTTGCACCTGTAAGAAATGTCCCTCTGGCAGCCCGTGACCAGGAATTGATTAAAGTGA